AACACAAGTTAAAAATTAAAGACTTTTTTAAAACATTGTTAATATTAATTTTAACGTGAAGAATTGAAAAAATCAGAATGTCTTATCAATTAAAATACTAATAATAATAATGAAAAATGTGTGAACAGTTAGAAGACGGACGGTTAAAACGGCATAAATGGCAAAACAAAGATCGAGGGTGGGCCAAACAAGTGTGAACAGTCTAAGCACAGTGATGGGCCGTTGGCGTTTGTAAAAATGGCGGAAATGACACGAAACCCAGTAAAAAAACACTGTGTAATGGCTTTTGTGGGAGTTAAAAGGACTCGCCACTTATATTTTTGGTGGAGGTGGATAGACTATGTCAGCCACTCAGACGACCAAAACAAATAATTAACTGCAGGATATATAAAACATTTCATAGTCATCTTCAAATCATCTCAACTAATTATAATTAGTGTAAATTAAGTTAAAATACTTTGCATTCACATACATCAAACCAATAATATATAAAAAGTTTCATAGGTGTCCTCAATCATCTCAACTTTAATTACCATAAATTAAGCTGAAATGCTTTGCATTCATATACACCAAACCAATAATATATAAAAAATTTCATAATCATCTTCAAATCATCTCAACTTTAATTAGTGTAAATTAAGTTGAAAGGCTTTTGCATTCACATATACCAAACCAATAATATATAAAAAGTTCCATAGCCATCTTCAAATCATCTCCATCTTCAAATCATCTCGAGTTTAATTGGCATAAATTAAACTAAAATATTTTGCATTCACATACACCAAACCAATAATATATAAAAAAAGTTCCATGGCCATCTTCTAATCATCTCAACTTTAATTAGTATAAACTAAGCTGAAATACTTTGCATCCACATACACCAAACCAATAATATATAAAAGGTTTCATAGTCATCTTCAAATTATCTCTCAACTTTAATTAGTGTAAATTAAACTGAAATACTTTGCATTCACATACACCAAACCAATAACTAAAACTAATGATTATTACCTTACGTACGCTTTCTTTTTAATGTCATTTTTTGTGTTTGAATTTTTAATTTTAAATATTTTAATTTTAATTATTAATTTTTTTTTTTACTTTTTTTCATCATTAAACTATACAAATATATTAAGTCTATATACATACATATCTTAAGTTCTTAAATTTATAATATATACATATCTGTAGTCTTTGAACCATATATTATGGACTAAAAGTATGCATATATGAATAAAATTAATGAATTAATTGATAAAAAAATTTAAAAAAATAGATTTTTCATAATTCTTTTTTCCTCTCTCTCTTACTATTTCTTTCAAGTTTTCAATGTACTGGTAGGTTTCTTGTTCTCTGCTTTAAATATTATTCACAAAAACATGATTCTAGTCCTATTTATGCCTGATTAAGTGAGAACCATAATTTGTCAAAAACTGCATCTACTAAAAATGGCATTGGCAGGCAATCAGCCATACCCTCTCCATCATTCATCTTCTGCAGAAGGGTGCTAAGAGAAAAGTTGGAAGTCTCCAGTTTGGTTTTTGTTTGAAATCTTAAGATAGGAAACTTGGGTGGGTTTAGCTAAGCACTCAAATTGTGTTTATTTGAAGAAGCATTTTTTTTTCTTTGGCAGGATTTGGTTTTAGAAACCAAATGAAGTATGATATTATTTAGTTAATGAGAAGATAGAATTTTTGTTGATTCTTATTTACTTTTCGGAATCTTTTCTTGTAATTTCTTCATGTGGCAGTTAAATTTAAGATTAAGTGAACATTTTTGTGTTTTACTAAAATGAGAGTTAGATTGATTAGTATGTATCTGACTTTGTATTTTCTCAAGTGGATACATGGAACTGAAAGATTCTGAACTCATTGTGGAATCTAGTTTTCTACTATTTGGAGTCTTGAGAATCAAGGGTGGCAAATGGAAAAAATTCAATCCCAATTAAACAATTATAGGTCTTCCCTATCACTTGGGGATTTGTACATTTCCTCATCACTCGGACATTTGTACATCCACCATGTTCTGGATTCATTCACGTGAAAAGGGTGACATGTAGGCATATTATGTCAAAAAGTCACAAGCTTGAAATATGCACCCACAGCCCGCTCTAATCTTTGAGTGAATTGTGGATCCCATTAATTAATTTCCCTTAAGTATTATCTTTTCCGTTATTTTTTAAATAATTTTAATGTAATATTTTGGGTTTTCGAATATAAATTTTGTATAAAAATAAATTTAATAATTTACATAAA